TTAGAGGGTTAATATGTTGTGGGGTTGTTAACCAATGTCATAAAACAACATGTGTACTACTGTTTCATGAAAAACTATTTGTTCTGTAAGCCTTCACCGGAAGTACAATAAAAAAAAAAAAAGGAAACAAGTCTATACTAGCCACAACCTCATTTACCCTGAGACTAGAAGAACTAGATGGTGCCCAGCTACCACCACTGACTGTTCTGACTGAGGTCACAATAGTTGATCCCGGATAGAACGGGAAAAAAATAGGGAGCAGAACTCAAATTTTTCTTTAAAAAAAAAAAAGCCAGACAAACAGGAACAGTAGAGAACAGAGGACTCCCTGAGACTATCACCCTGAGACACTGTTTAAACCTAGAACAGAGCCTATCCCTTGTGATCCCCTTTTAGTGAAAAGCAGAGTAGTACACAAAATAAAGGATATTACTTGTAAGATTGGTGCCCACTTCAAAACAATCAGAATGAGACCAAAAGGTCAACGATTACTCAAAAGTAAAGATGAGAAGATAAGGGGGAGTGTGTTAGTTATCCAGTGCTGCTGTAACAGAAATACCACAAGTGGATGGTTTTAACTTGTGGTATTTTTCTTTTTTAAGAGAAATTTATTCTTGTGGTATTTCTCTTTTTTAAGAGAAATTTATTCTCTCACAGTCTAGTAGACTAGAAGTCCGAATTCAGGACACCAGCTCCAGGGGAAGGCTTCTCCTTCTGTCGGCTCTGAGGGAAAGTCCTTGTCATTAATCTTCCCCTGGTCTAGAGCTTCTCAGGCGCAAGGACCCCCGGTCCAAAGGATGCCCTCTGTTCCCGGTGCCTTCTTGGTGGTATGAGGTAGCCCTGTCTCTCTGCTGGCTTCTCTCTTTTATATCTCAAAAGATATTGGTTTAAGACACAACCTAATCTTATAGATTGAATCCTGCCTCATTAACATCACAGAGGTAGGATTTACAACACATAGGAAAATCACATCAGATGACAAAATGGTGGACAATCACACAATACTGGGAATCATGGCCTAGCCAAGTTGACACATATTTTTGAGGGACACAATTTAACCCATGACAGGCAGGGAAACTAGAGTACTGGAAAGGGAACAAACAACACAGTTAAAGAGGATGTTGACACATTGTGATAAATGTAATGGATGTCAATGAACAATTTGTGTGGAAATTGTCAAATCAGAACCTAACTTAATCTAACTTGCTGTGTACACTTTCACCAAAAACTCAATAAAATATTATTTCAAAAAAAAAAAGAATATATTGATGACGTTCATAATTTTTCTTGTTGGTACTTAATCCCAGAAATATTTCTCATTAGTTCAGAGAGGCGTTACATAAGTTGCATTTTACTTTGGCAGCAGCACTTAAGCTTCTGGTGAGACTGAAATGGGTTCACATTCTCTGACCACAAAAGGAGAGATGGAATTGTACCGTCACCACACTTAGCCAACCGAATTAGCAAAGCTCCCTAGGAGGCCGCTTCAAGTGCTTAAAATGCTTCTCTACAATGATCAGTCAGAGCTGAAGGACCTGGTGGGGTGGTGAGAGAAGTGGGCTGGAAAAGAGAGAAGCAAGCATTCCCTCCCACAGGGAGGGAGCTAGGAATCAACGGCCTGAGAACCGGCCAGAGCTGCCAGGAGTGAAAGGCGAGGGAAGGGAGAGAATTTCAATGAGTCCTGGGAGTCTCTGTTCCTCCAACGGCCGAAAAGTGAGGGACGGTCTGGCAACACCAGCCCTCCCGGTAGCCCGAGACCCAGAGAAAACATTAAAAACTGTCCCTGCAAGAAAGTAACTAAGGAAAATTTCTTCCAACACTCACCAAAAAGTGAGCCCCCCCTAAAGAAGAGTTCACCTCCCCTTAGCCTTTTACCCTACTTTCCCTTCTCCAGCCTAGCTCTTCAGCACCTACCTCCCCACGCCGCAAAAAGGAGGCTCCCGGCCTCACGTGACACCGATGTCACGTGACCCGGGCCCGCGGGAGACGAGAGGTAGGTTCCAGCTCCCGGAGCCAGAGGGGTCTGGCGTGCCTAGCCCCCAGCCCGACGCGACCATGCTGTCCCGCCTGCTGAAAGAGCACCAGGCCAAGCAGAATGAACGCAAGGAGCTGCAGGGTAAGCCAAATATCCCGTCTGCCGTTTTCTCTCCTGGCGCGGCCTTGCCTCAACCCCGAGCCTGGGCCTAGAGTAACGGCCCAGAGCCAGAGAAGGACGAGGGCTAGTGGGCACGAGCGCGGCGAAGGGGGAGCGAGGGGGCGGCTATTTTGGCAATTCCGTTCGTTTGCCAACCGGCTCTGGGCCCTTTGGCAACACTTCTGTCGCTTTAGGCAACGCCCCCGTCCCTAACTCGGCGGCATCCTAGCCCCACCCCCTATTCATGGAACGTTGTGCCTATTGGTCCAAACCCACTGCCGCCCCATAGGGTCTCCAAGGCTGTAAATGTTTAGGAAGCAGACTGCCATATCTTTCTCCCGTGGAGGACTGGTGAGTTCGAACTGCCGACCGTTGAGTTAGCAGCCGAGCGCTTAACCGCTGCGCCACCAGGGCTCTTTTCCTATTAGTGCAGGGAGCTTCTTATCCTGGAAGTGGGAGGGACTCCCCTGAGTGGAGGAGGGTGCTAGGAACTAGAAAGAAGCTGGAGTAACTGGAGACCTGAAACCATGGTAGCGGGGCTGGTGCGCGTGGTTTCTGAATCAGGGCTGGGAATCCTGGACTAACTGATCCTTCAAGATACTGAAAAGTGCCTGGGAGTCAGGAGTCCTGGGCTCTGGCACTGACGCCTTGGTGTCCCCCCTCTCTGTTTCCTTATGTCTAATATGAAAGGGCTTGCTTTATGTTTTATTGTGGTGAAAATACACATAACAAAACATACGCCAGCTCACCAGTTTCTATGTATCAAGTCAGTGACATTGATTACATTCAAGTTGTGCAACTATTCTCATCATCCTTTTCCAAATCATTCTTTCACCATTAACATAAATTAATACCCCCTAGGCAAAAACCCTCCCTTTCCCCCTCCCTTCCACCCCTGGTAACCACTAGTAATCTTTGGTTTCTCTGTTTCACATAAGTGAGGTCATACAGTATTTGTCCTTTCGTTACTCGTTTCACTTAGCATGATGTTTTCAAGGCTCACCCACGTTGCGGCATGCATCGGGACTTCATTTCGAAGTAGTATTCCATTGTGTGTATACACCACATTTTGTTTATCCATTCGTCTGTTGGTGGACTTTTTGGTGGTTTCCACCTTTGGGCTATTGTACAAAGTGCTGCAGTGAACACTGATGTACAGGTTTCTATGGGCTTGCTGTATGTTTTGCAAGGCCCTTTTCAGCTCTTTCTGAGATTATTTGAGATGCGGCAGCAACTAGCAGAATAGTAATGAGTGGGTGAGGAAACTTTAGCATCACCCCCAAAAAACTAAGTCTTCACTCCAATCCCTTTTCTCCCCTCCCCCCAGAGAAGAGGAGGCGAGAGGCTATCACTGCAGCAACCTGCCTGACAGAAGCTTTGGTGGATCACCTCAATGTGGGGTATGAACCTCTTCCTCTCAACACCAGTCCCCCAAGTTTAGTCACTGGCAAGGCCAGACTCTCAGATTGCTCGTGAGACGGTGGGATGTTTTACTCATACCCCTACCTTTTAGCTTAGTCTGATAGAAGTTTGAGTCATCTCTGACTGCTAGTATTGGGCAGGGGAGGAGCAGCTGCAGTGGTTGGAGAAGCAGCCAGACTTCCCCCTCCCCACATCAACTTCCCTGGTGCCTACAACTTGATGCCATCTGTCCATCTCCCTTTACTCCTCCAAGTCCACCTGTCACTTCAGCTGGAGGGAGAGCACCCTCCTTCACCACAGCTTACCACCCTCTCCTTCTCCACTTCCCACCCTCTGGCAGGCCTGGGCAGCAGCTGGCAGGAAAGGGATGGCACAGCTGGTGGGGGGTGAGGGCAGAAACTATGCCAGGAGCTAAGGCAGAGTCAGGCTGTCTCTTCCCTTCCCTCTGGGTCTCCAGGGGCCACCCCTCTACCCCAGCTCTAATGAGAATGTGAGTAACAGCCAAAGACCTGGGACAGAGCGTAGAACCTTGTATTTGACCCTGAGTGACCCCAAAGTGTGCAGAGATGATGATTTGATATGCCAACTCATAGGATCGCTATGAGTCAGAATCGACTCAACGGCAACGGGTTTGGTTTTGGTTTTTTTGTAAGAAAGGAGGCAGTATGATGCCTTCTACCCCAGGGCATGGAGAACAGATTGGTTGTGATTCCAGAGACTGAGTCACCTGAATGAGCCGTGCAGGGGCTGGACTCATCTTCATTACTCATCTGGGGGAGGGGGGCGATTAGGGGAAGAGAAGGCTATGGTTGGGGCCTCTGATCTCCCTTACTATCAGACCTCTCCCTCCACTCAGTGTGAATAATAGGGGAAAATGGGATTTCAGGAACTCCCTGGGAAATCTGTTGAGGCATTACTGTTTCGGCTCCCACCCCATCCACTACTGTGGCCCAGCTGTCTCCCAAAGAGAAGGGACACGTCTGTCCCTTTTCTCCCTCCCACATTGCTAAACCCGCCTCTTGGGAGTGTGGCCCAGGCTTCTCCTTCTCCTCTCCCTTTGCTGGGGGCCACCCCACTTTCACCTCAGAGAGCAGCTAAGCCAAAGCTGGATTAGAAAGGGTTTTGTGTTGCTGCCCACAGGTCCTCTCATTCCCCGGAAAGGAAAACAAAAGCTCAGTCTGTCTCAGCCCGTCAGGTGCCCTGCCCACTCTCTTGACCATTCCAACCCCTTGCCCCCTCCAGCCCCCACACATTCCAGTGGCGGTGGGGAATGAGGGGGGCACCGGATGTGGAGTCTCCTGGGTGACCTAGAGTTTTAGGGAGGAGAGTAAAAGATTCATCAGTCAACCAGGGGGAACAATTATGGGGGGGTGGGGGGTGGGCAGAGGGTTGGAGACAGAATCCCCATGGCAGCAGTGGTAATTGCAGCCACCACCTTGATTGAGAAAACAACTTTATTGCCTGGAGCAGAAAGGAGGGAGTGTGTGTGTGTGTGTGTGCGCACGTTCATTCATCTGTGTGTGTGTGTGTTCATCTGTGTGTGTTCATCTGTGTGTGTGTGTGTTCATCTGTGTGTGTTCATTCATCTGTGTGTGTGTGTGTGTGTGTG